CCCTGGTTTCACGGGAGGCAGCACGCACCCACCCACTCTGCCCCAGCTGCAGCTCCAGCTGACAGCCAACACCAAGCACGTCCAGAGACCCTGGCCCTGGGCCTCGAGTCCCTCTCAGTCTCCATCTCTCCAGCTGCGGCCCCAGACATGGTGGAACAGAGACAAGCTGCCCAGCGCGTCCTCTCCAGCTGGCTGACTCGCAGAACCGATGCGTGCAACAGCATGGTTGCTCCGTGCCCCTGGACTCACATGGCCTCACGCTGCCCCTGCAGAAGCGAGCACCAGCCACCGAGCTAAGGGCTTTTCCTGCACAGCCTCAGCCCCGAGAAGTAAGCCAATGGGAATTATTTATTCCTATTCCCATTTCACCAGTAAGAAAACTGAGGCTCGGAGGGATTTCAGCCGACTGCCTGCGGTCCCACAGCTGAGTGCCAGAGCCTGGCTTTGCACCCGGACTGCCCGACTCCAGGAGGGCTTTTCCTCATTGGGTGACAAAAGGAGGAAGACAGAAAGGTGTGTGGCAGGGCGGCACTGCAGGGACGGGTGCGGAAACCCGGGGCGCGGGCCGAGCTTTCCCATGGACTTGCTTTGCTGCCAAGGACTCTTCAGAGAAAACCTGTCGGTTGGTTCAGCCATGTGGAGGCGGGGCTCACAGAATCTGGGGCTGTCTGCACCAGTTCCAAGGCACACGCTAACATGACTTGCTCTCTCTGGGGGTCAGCGTTCTTTGTAACTATTGCTCTCCAGGAAAATATTATTTAACTACATGAACGAAACATTACACATGGGGGAAACTGAAAACGTGGCATTCCTGGCCTGTCTTCATGGACCGGAGACGGAGATGGTTTCTGCATTTCCTTTCTCATAGGCCGTCTGCTTGTTGGCATAGAGCTGCTGGCACTGCCACTCCCCGGGGCGCAGAGTAGGGGCAGGTCTCTGTGGTAGGGGGCGGGGATGACAGCAGAGAAGGGGCGCAGCCTCCACTGGGGCCATGCTGAAGTTAACCGAGTCCCTGGTCCAGGGACCCAGGACCAGGGCTGCTCCCCATGCCAGAGTCTGTGGTCCCCGTGCACCGGGCAGGCCAGCTGGTTAAAGGGCGTGGGGCCACAAAGAAGGGTTGGGGAGCTCCCACCGGCCTCCTTTCGGCTCCTCAACATGCCACACCTTGCCCCTTCATGGCTTCCACCCCCTCTTGCCCCCACTAATGTGTCAGCTCCATGAGGGCAGGTCTGTGCCTTGTTCCTGGGCATGCGGCCCATGGTGACTGCCTGGTTCACAGCAGGCCCTCGGCATGGAAGTCTTGAAGGAGAGAACGAATGAACACATCTTGGGGCCTCTCCTTGGCAGGTGTGGGGGGTGCCTGATTGCTGGGAAGGGAGCCCAGAGCAGCAGCTTAAGCCCCCACTGAGGAGCCGAGGGGGGTTGCGTTCCTGCCATTCCCGGGCTGCAAGAGGCACATTCCTGTCTCAGGGTCTGGTCGGGCTCCTGCCATACAGCCCAGTCTAACTGCCAGACCAGGGCAGGCCTACCCTCTACAGACCCCTGGCTGTGCGGGGGGCTGCAAAGGCACCACCTCTCTGTCATCTGAGGCCGTGGGTGGGAGGCCAGGACCACTGAGTGAGTCCGACTCCGAAGCTTTCCAGACACTGCCGAGCCCTCTGGTGATCAGCTACAGCCTTAACATCCTGGTCCAGGGCTGCAGCGGGGGATTGGTGAACTGGTGGGAAACACCCCCGTGAGCCGGCTCACTCCACGGCCAAACTGCTGGCATCAGCACTTCTCTGGGAGGGAGTGGGGAGTCAGCAGTCACCGTGGCTCTGGAGCTCCTTTGAGAGCCAGGTGCCTGCAGGGCCCAGCAAGGGCCCAGAGGCCTGGGCTGAAGAGGTGAGGGCAGGAGACTGGGTTCTTACCCAGGGACCTCAGTCTGACGGGGAGGGAAGGCACCTGGGACAAATGAGCACAGATAACCGTCTGATGCGCAGGAAGGAAGTGCTACGGAGAGGCACAGAGAGCTGTAAGGGGGGGACTCTGTGAAAGGCCAGCTAGTGAGTATTGCAGGCTTTGCAGGGCAGGGGGTAGCATGGGGGTGGATGTCTTTGTCCCAACCATTGGGCTCTGCAGCTGCAGTGTGAAAGGGGCCACGGACAACAGTCAATGGAGGGTGTGGCTATGCTCCGACACAAATAGGGGCCAAGGGTTTGGCCCTCATGTGCCAATCCCTGGTGTAACAGGCAGGGTGGGGCGTGGCCTGACCTGGTCTGGGACAGGTCAGGGGCTAGGTGGGAGGAAATTCCTCCCCGAGGCAGTGACATCTTGCTAGAACCTGAGGGGTGATTCGATGCTAATCGGAATCACAATGTTGACAATAACAACATCATCCTAATAACAGACATTGCACTTGCTGAAGGAGCTCTGTGTGTCGGTCTTGGCGCTCAGGGCTTTACACTTGGGGTGTCAGGGAACTCCCACGACCGCCTGAGAGGGAGGTGTCCGTGTGCCCCTTACAGACGGGGGGATTGAGCTGCGGCAGGTGCCGAGGGTTCTGTTGGACCCTTCACACCCGAGTCCTCTCTGGGACCCAGCAATGGCCAGATGTGGGAACACGTTTCCTGCCCTGGTCCTTCAGCTGGAGGTGCTGGGTGCCACACTGTTCTCTGTGTGAAGCGCTTGTTCTTGTTCCTGTTTCATTTTCACTCCGTCTCTTCCTGTGGGCCTTCGGGCCAATTCTGTTCCCTGCCAGGATTCCCGCTGATGCTGCAGGTTCCTTAACTTGCTGGGTGCTGGGTTTCACATGAATAGTAGAGCCACGTGGAAGTGATGGTGGGTGGGGTGGTAGGGGAGCCTGGGTGACCTTGAGGCAGCTGGGCCAGGGGTGGGGCCCGGCTCCGGGTGCTGGTTTCCATCCTAGGCCGGGGTCTAAGGTAGATGCAGCCCCTCCTTTCTGGCCCCAGAGCCTGTCGAGGGCTCAGTCCTGAGGCCCCCAATTAGTGTTAGTTTTCTGGGCTGGGCTGCTGGTCTACAACCGTCCCTCGAGCAGCAGGAGGTGGTGGTGCTGACCTGGGCTGGGGGAGGAAGCGGCCCTGGGACATGAATCCTCCAGTGCTGTTGGGAGGGCAGACAGGAAGGGTGGCCGCGGGGACTTCTGGGCACCCGGGGAAGCCAGAGATGTGGCTTCTCCTGCTAACGCACATTTACCACGTAAGGCTGCAGAGGCTTATTTGCACTAATTTGGAGGAGACTCAGAAGGGCATGACACTTCCACGTTTGAGTCCACTCTCTGCTCCAGAATTCTGGCTCCATCTTTTGAAGAAATAGTCTGGAATGGCTGGTGCTTCCTGTTGCTCTGTGGCCCGAAACAATTGCTGTAGGAGCCTGCCTGCTGCTGTTTCTGACATCCCTGATAGGACCCCTGCCCCTGTGTCCGCAGGTCAGGTGTAGGTGACTGAGCATGCAGAAGGAGCACTGAGACTGAGAGGGAAAGGACTTCCGGAGCAGGGACAGAGCTGAGGTGGTAGAGACAGGACCAGCACCAGGGGCTCGCCTCTGGCTGCCTTTGCTCGAGGGTCATCTCTCGTGTAGGCTCAATACTGGGCTCACAGAACCCTGTGAAAATCCAGCAGAGGCCAGGACTCTGTCTCTTGAGGTATGAATGGCAGCCCCTCCCAGGGCTCTGTGGACCAAGCAGTATCTCCCTCTGCTAAGTCACTGTGGGGCCCCAGGGGTGCCCAGGGCAGGGCCCAGCCTGCACAGTGGAGCCAGGAGAGGCTGGAGAAGAGGGGCATGGGAAAACTCCCTGGGAGTCAGGGCAGAGGCCTCGCCGGCTGGTGTTCATGAGAGGCTGTAGCTGCCTCTTGCAGCCTCCGTGGTCCTGTATCCAGCAGCAGACGAAACTGCCGCGCTGGCTGGGCTCCAGACAGTGGAGCAAGTGGCGTGGGCGGGCCAATAGGCCGGGGGGTGCCACATCACCAGACAGCAGCTTGCAACAGCCACCCCTCCCAGAACACTTGCTGCATGTCAGACGACGCTGAGTGCCTTCTAAGTATCACTTCTATTCTGACCTGCCAACGATCCTGGTGGGGTTCCCCTACCCTCATTTTTCAGGTAAGCACACCGAGGCCCAGAGGGGTGGAGGTACCATCCAACGCTGCAGTGGCCTAGAACCCGGACTGGTGTGGCCCAAGCTCACAGGAGGAGGAGGGAGCACAGCTGGCCGCTGGCCCCAGACTGGTCCCTCCCTGGGCAGCGGCAGTGCTCAGCCCCAGTAACGACGCTGGTTGGAATACAGACGGAAGGAAGCCGCCACAGCGGTAACAACAAGGCACTTTCACAACGTGCTCCCTCCCCCCCCACCCCGCCCGGCAGAGCCCTTTAAGGTGTGAACCTGCCCGGGCATCACAGCGGCCCCATAAGGTGATCGCTGGCATTACCTCCACTGTGTGGTTGAGGCCACCAAAGACCAGACCAGTGAGATGACAAAGCTAGGAAACAGCACAACGAGGGCTGCCTTCAAAGCTGGGTCCTTAATCGCTAGGGGATACTGTGTATGTGTGTCCCAGATATGTGAACGAAACCGATGCTCCTGGGAGCCGAGCCGTCTGTGGCTGGTGGCACCAAACACCCCGGCACCCTGTACACCCCCGGGGCATGGCAGCTCCAGGGCACTGGGCCTGATGATAAGGGCCCGGGTGACCCGGAGAAGATCCTGGGTTTTCTCTACCTACCCTGTGCGTGCTCCCAACTTGGGGCTCTGATCTTGCTTCTTGGGGCTTTTAGGTCCCAGGCTCCTCCAGGGAGCCCCAGCCCAGAGGTGCCCCCCAGGAGTTCCGTGGGATCAAGAGCCTGGGCAGGTTGGTGTGGGAGGGCCGTGAGCAGGGACAGCCGGGCCCACCAACCTGCAAACTGAACTGCACCCTTTGGCCCCACAGGCAGGACCAACCCCGGCAGCTGCACGTGGGCTTCTAGAGGGTGCGCCCCCACTGCATATGGTGCGGCTACAATACCTGCGAGGTCTTCCTTGGAAGAGACGAGTCTTGGAGAGCTGCTTCCTGGCTCGATTCTGAGCGACAGTCTGAAAACAAGGATTTTCACAAGGTCAGAGGGGCTCTGCTCTGCTGCATTGGAGGGGGACTGAGCGTGGCCGTGTTGGTAATCGGCAGACTGGATGGCTGGAAGGACAGTTATGGCCATGAAACCCAGGAATACTTTGGGGTCTGCTCCAGATCACAGCCACTTCCTTCCCCAGTGCCCAGGGGACTTCTGTGACCAAGAAATAATGGTTAAGGATGACAGAGCAAAAAGAGTAATCACAGCCTGTCACCTGCTGGGCGCTAACGTGTTCATTCTGAAGTCAGCCCTGTGAACGAGGCAGGCACGTTACCCCGTCTCACAAACGAGGGAGCGGAGGGGCGGTGAGCTGAAGGGGCGGAGCATCAAACCCTGGAGCCTTTGAACCCAAACTGGTTTTGTTTTGTTTGTTTGTTTTTGTTTTTATCCTCACCTGAGGACATGTTAATGATTTTGGAGAGGGGGGAAGGGAGGGCCAGAGAAGGAGAGAAACATCAATGCGAGAGGAAACATCAGTCGGCTGCCTCTCATGGGCCCTGACTCAGGACCGAAGCCACAGCCTAGGCACGTGCCCCGCCTGGGATGTGAAGCTGCAACCTTCCAGTTTACGGAACAAGGCTCCAACCGAGCCACACTGGCCAGTGGGGTTTTCAATCATCACACACTCCCTCTCAGTTGTCCCTAGAGATGCAGGTGGCAACGGGAATGTTATGAGGATCGGCACCTCAGGATTATTATAATTTTCAACCTTTTGTTAGCCCTTAACCTTTAGTTAAGCCCTGACTGGTGTGGCTCAGTGGGTTGGGTGTCGTCCTGCAAACCAACAGGTCGCCAGCTCAGTTCCTAGTCAGGGCCCATGCCTGGGTTGTAGGCCAGGTCCCCTGACTGCAGGTGTGTGAGAGGCGACTGATAGATATTTCTCTCTCACATCGATATTTCTCTCCCTTTTTCCCTCCCTCCCTTTTTCTCTATAAAGTAAACAAATACATAAATAAAAATCTTTTTTAAAAGGATTAATTAGGAACTTCTGGGTGAAGATGACAGGGTGGAGCCAGATGCCAGTGTCTCCCTTCCCCAGCAAAACCAACAAACAATTATGAAAGCTTGGGCGTAAACAAACTTGCCAGATGCTCCTCAACAAGGGAAGGGGCCTGAACTAAAGCCATGAACTTCAGAAACTTGCAGCTAAGAAAAGAAAACGAGGATGGTGAGGTCTGACCAAGAGTTGTACCGTGGCGTGGTCTCTGCCCCGCCCTCTGGGACCTCTCCATGGGGCTAGTGGGTCCTCACCTATCGCTCTTCTGACTGGCCCCATGGTTGGGAGAGATGGACGGGGCGGATGGAAAGCATGGTGGATACTCTGAGGAAACGAAGCCTCCGTCGGGGCGATTACATACCGGAGGCACCCCTTTATGGAATGGGGTACGGCCTCCAACAGGGTGGAGGAAACTCTGATGGGGGTCTTTAGACAGAGCCCCCATACCTGAAACAGACTGCTTGCTCCCTTCCTCCTGGAGCCTGAGCCCGGCGTTCCCCCAGACCTCACCGCCCAGCAGGAGAACCAACCCACCTCACCCACGGGGGGCGGGGGGGGGCTCTGACGTCCCTCCCTCCGTGGAGTATCCGGCGGGGCCTCTCATCAAGTGGGAGGAAGATGAAAAGGAAGGGCACGACCACCCAGCAAGCACCCTTCCCACAGAAAAAGAAGAGAGAAGGCGCGGCCCAGGGGCAGCCCCAGGCGTACAGGGCAGTCCCCGGGAGTGCTCTGAGCAGGGGGACAACTCACGCAGAATGTGGGCTGAACAGAAACAAGACCTGGGAATGAGACAGCAGACGAGTAAGGTGAAGAGGAGACTGGAGATCAAGGGGACGAACGGAGACCTGAATGAAGACCTCAGCAGAAACAGACCGTCTGGTGACTGTGACCACGAAGACAGAGATTAGACAGAAGCTGAGGGCCGTGGAAGGCAGAGAGCACCCCCTGTGGGTTCCTAGAACCCCTGGAAGAGAAAAACCCAAGAAATGCACAGAAGGAGCCAAAGGCATAAACCAAAAGACTCCCTGTGAAATGAAGAGAGGGCGCCCCATGAGCCAGGGAAGTGTGGTACAAACCCCCACTGCAGGCACGCCCCTTGTTAAGCTCTTGAACGCCAAGGAATTCTTCACCCACCAGGAAGACAGAACAAGACCCTTGACAAGAGTTAAAAATTGGACCGAGCTGAGGTGTTATACAAGGCCGGACGGCGACAGAGCAGGGTCTACGCGTCCCGGGGGACAGAAACGAAGGTGCTCAGCCCAGCGAGCCGAGGGCAGGTGTGCACGACTGTGAAAACCTGCTGGAATCGTCTAGACGAGGGGCCGATTTAACACGAAGACTTTGGGAAGGAGGAGATGACAGGGGGAAAGAACTGAATCTGTTTAAAACAGAACAGTAGGAGTGATAATTCCTGAACAGGATGCGTATGTTATAAACTTGGACTATGCAGGGATAATAATGTAACCAACAAGAAACTGGAAGGTGGGGTGGGGGTGACAGAGGGGGAGAGCGCCAGTGTCCTTGTCTTTCGTGCCCAAGTTCACGGTGGGAACCAAGTCACGACAGAACTGCTGGGCTCCATCCCATCAGTGTTCTCCTGACCTCCTGGTTAATCTTAGAAGCTCTTTTAGGAAATAATACCTTTTGGGGTGGGGAGATATTTATTTGAAGAGTAGCAATTCCTTGAGTTTTATTTCCGTTCCTTTTTTTCTGGTTAAATGAAAGTCAATACTGTTAATTAAAAATAGCAAGTGTAGCCTGATTCAACTTTAACAGATTCTGGCCTCTCATCCTTCCATCCACCACCCTCCTCTACATGCGCATATGTACTTTCTATGCACAGAAAACCGTCCAAAACTGCGTTCGCCTAATGCTGGTGGGAACTCGGGTAATTGTTCTTAAGTTAAAAACAGAATAAAGGCTGAGAAGAACGAGGCACTGGGTGGACCTCCCAGCAGAGTATCTCCACAGCAGAGGGGGCGGGGTGTTAGAAATGCAGTCCTCAAGGTATTAGCTAAGCAGCTTGTCCTTGGGGGCTGTGGAGCGTGGGTTCTGCAAGCAGAACCACAGGCCCCAACCTCTCTGCCACTCAGAGCCAGGGAAGGGACCCGCTGCCTGGGAAGGGGCTCCCTCAATGGTCTGGGCCGGGGGGGCCAAGAATTCGGGCCCCCCCGGGTGTGTCCACATGGACAACAACAAAGGGCCCTTGTGAAGTCCAGGCTGACTGCTGTTTGGTGTGAGATGCTGGGGGTGTCACAGTCCTTTGGGACGACGGAGCAGTGACTCACCGCCTGTGGCCTGTCCAAGGATTATCTCATGGTCAGAAGTATTTACATTTTTCTCCTTAAGGGATATTAGTGTTAATGAAAAACTACTGTCTTTTTAATAGCGCTACCGGCACAGGAATGGAAAATATTACCCCAGAACCTAAGTGGGAATAATTTCACACTCCAGGGTCTGTTTTTAAGCAAGTGCTTTGTAAGTAAAATGAGCTCAATTTGTGGCAAACACAGTTTTAATGAGATTCTCCGGCTTTCATCTATTGTTGTTACTATTACGTAATAGGTCGACATTTCATATTTGATTTTAACAAAATACCATACAAAAACAACTAAAGATATTATATGTTGTTCCCAAAGTTACAACCAATCAGTAGAGCCACCTACGGAACTTTGAAGAGGCACCCCAGACACCTGGAGAGCTAGCCGGCCTCCCCGGTGACCGGTCCGTGGCCATGTGCACAGCCCTTCCTAAGGCCCTGCTGAGTGAGCGGTGGGTACATGGGGGGTGTCTAGCGACCATGGTCCTCTACAGTTTTCGGTGACTGAGATAAGGAGCAAATCGGGGCGGTCAAACTCTCAGACCCCGCACTGGAAGACATTAAAACGAACACAACGGCTAACAGGAGACAAAGGGACTACAGTGTATGCACCAGAGGCGACAAGTAAGAGGGGATTTAAGAGAACACAGGTAAAGGTGACATTCAGGGGGCAAACGATCAACTGCAAGGCCTGCCTCGATGTGTCAGGTTGCTGAAAATGCACCGAGGCTCACGCTGACCTCAGCTCCAAACCAGCCAAGAACGTGTCCCACCAACACGGCAGAGTGGACATGAAACACCCTCTGCCTCCCTCGCAATAGGCACACATGCTGTGTAAGTTCCCAGGTGCCACAGATGAAGAAAGAACCGAAAGCCAGAGCAGGGTGAGCGGAAGATGAGGCCGAAGGGCCCCCAGGGCTCTTCACGGAACTCACTCTGCTCCGGAGGGGTTGCACGGGACGGACACGGGGCCTCCGCCACGGCCAGCCAGCGCCGCTCCTGCGGAAGGCTGGGACCACGGGGCCTAGGGTCGTGCTCCGTGCCCGTGAATTCTGCGTGTGCTGGGCCGGGAGGGGAGTGGGCACTCACTTGTAGTTGTCGTCCTCCACAAACTTCTGGAGCTCTTCGATGTAGCGCACAGACTTCAGGTACTTCTGCACGTGGGGCAGGGTTGTTAGGTGATCTGCCAGAGGTGGACAAAACCCAGAGGTTCAGTCCCTCCCATCTCCAGGTCCCGGATGACACATGTAGGAATGGCTGACTTTGTCACCAGACATTGAGGACTGGGCACAGAGGGGCCATCAGGCCTGGGCTCTGCCCTCACGGAGTGCCCTCAGATGGCTGGGCCACAGACACCACACACCAAGGCTACCAGGGTTCTTCGGTCAGGGAAAGATGGACCTTTGGGGAAAGGTGGTCTCCAGAACAGGCCACAGCCAGGTGTCTGTGTCCTAAAACAGGTTTCCACTGGGGTCGTGTGGCAAGCCTCCCATGCTTGCCCACCCATTTGACAAGAAAGAAAAAATGAATGAATAAAACCTCATCTAGCCCAGTGTGGAGGTCCCACCTAGACCCTGGCACAGCTGGAGCACCTGGCCCCTGGGCTGGAGCTGCTGCACCCTGGGAAGGCAGGGACGGGCCCAGGTGCTCAAGCCCCTGCTCTGCGCCAGGCTCTGTACCGAGAGACTCCTAGGAGTCATTTGCTTTAGCCCTCACAGCTGCCTCCTGTGGGGGACACGTATGTCCATTCCACAGAGGAAGAAGGTGTGGCAACTTGCAAAGCTTATGTCCCTGAGTGAGGCAGAGCTGGGTTTCAATCCCAGGCCACCTTCTACCCTGCACCGCCTCCATTTCATGGGGGGGCTGACGCCAGCTGCTCTCCACAGACCTTCAGGGTCACTGCACTTCTAAGGGGCCCCAAAACCCTCTGAGACCCTCTCTGCCGTTCCCTGCAGGGTGGGGCAGAATGAGCTAGAGGACAGGTGGAGATGGTGGAGCAGGATGCGAAGCACAGCAGAGAGAGGGTGGGAAAGGGCCCGCACTCCCCAGGGTGTGTCCAGGTCACATGAGGAGCGCCTGATGGCTCTGCCCCTTGACTTTGAGATTCTGAATGTGTCATTTTTTTAGGGTCGTCCAACCTGCAGCCTGTGGGCCGAATACGGCTCAGGATGGCTATGAATGTGGCCCAATACCAGATCGTAAATTTACTTAGAACATGAGACTGTTTTGTGATTATGTGTTGCAGTGCATTTCATGTGCGGCCCAAGACAACTCTGCTTCTTCCAGGGCGGCCCGGAGACGCCGGGCACCCCTGTGAGTCTCAGCGTTCTCACCTCTGCCGTGGGGACACCACCACTGCCTGAAGCTGATGACAGGGCGGGTGCAGGTGAGGGTAGGAAAGCGAGCGTTTGCTGAGCTCTGATGGAAGGCCCGGGCACGCCAAGGGCCGGCACACGTATGTCCACATGTGTACAGATGAGAGCACCTCAGACTCAGAGAGAAAGTGACTTCAAGAGGCAGGGCCGAACTTTGAACCCTAGTCTGCCTGACCCCACAGCTGTGCCTGGAACTGCTCTGCTGGCCAGCAGGACACCGAGTGTCCACGCGCTTGTCAGTGGAAAGGGCCTCCGTGGGCAGGGCTGCGCTGGGGACACAGTCCCCTCCCTGCTCCTCCAGTCAGAGAACAGCTAGTCCGGGAGTGCTCACACCTCCCCCACCCCTTGTGAGTGGACCCTTCGCCTCAGTGAGCCCACCATGTAGGAAGCCCACCCTGGCTTCCCTGGGGGTCTTCCCCAGTGGAGGCTATTGGTTCGCTCACACCCCATGTCTCGTCGACTCCCTCACGCCCTGTGTCCTGTCGGTTCGCTCACACCTTGTGTAGCGTTGGTGCACATCTGGTTCCCTTTGCTGCTTCTAGACTCTCACTCCTCAACCCCTTTTGTGGGAACCCGCCCATGGAGGTGTGTCGCTGCAACTCTGCCACCCCTTCTCCTGTCCGTTGCTGACACCTCCCAGCTGCCCCCTGGCCATTCATGTCGATTCCTGGGGGACCTGGGCACCTGGCTCACCACCGACCTCCACACCCCAAAGCCCGCCATCACTTCGGGTGACGTTGATGTGCACGTGGATGGCCCTTCCGGCGTCGTGACCTTTCCTTGACCCTTCTCCAACAACCATCTCCTCACCTATTTCAGACTGTCCCCTTCCCGGTCCCACTTTGGGTCTGGTCATGGTTGGCAGAGCCCGGCTAAGTTGTCTGCCACATCATTCCCCTTTTCCTTCTAGCCCCACAGCCAGACTGCCTTTCCCGGCCTTCCTCAGCAGAAGTAACGAGTGCCACCTGCAGGGCTGGGCTGTAAAACCTAGCCCTACGTGATGCTCTCTACTCCTGCACCGTCCTGCAGAGTTCAGTGGAGGGCTCCGCGGGGCCGCTGAGTTGGCTGCAGGAGGGCTGCCCAGGAGCCACCCACAAAGCTCATGAATATTCTGGCTCGAGGGCCAGACAGACCTGGACTCTGCCACTCACTAAACATGTGATCGTGCAGACACGTGACCAACCTGTTCTAAGCCTCCGTTTCCTCACCTGCAATACAAAGATAGTGACACCTAGTCTGCACATTCTGTGAAGATCAAACATGCATGTAAAAAATCAAGCACATGTGTGATGCTCAAGATAGAGCTTTCTCACTGGTAAGGTGTGGGGCCCAAATTTCAGGGACGTAGTATTTGTCAGTGCCAGTAAGCAGGGTACTCACCGTAGCTGCAGGAGACCTGTAGGTCAGCGATGATTCGGAGAATGTTGTTCATCTGATTGGACCTTTGTTCGTTTTCCATGATGCTGCCTGAGGCAGGATATGCAGAATCGATGTAGATTAAATCCAGGAGATAGATCCCTGAAAGAACAGAAGGCACTCAATGATGGTGGGTGTTCAGCATTAAACAGACAAAACGGCACAACACAGAGCTGCTCTGCCGGAAGCCGTACAGGGGGGCGCATGGCAAACGGAGATGCTGCTGGGACTTCAGCTCCGGTCCTAACTTCTCACACAGATCGTGCAATGGTAAATCGAACACCTGTGTGACAACCCAGATGAATGCTGGCAAGATTTCAGCATCTCTGGACTGTGCACTCTTCAGCAACAAGGATTTTCTCCCCTTGTAACCCATGTGGAGAATAACAGGACATAAAGGAGATGAATGGATATTTGTGTTTCTCACCAACTGACGAAGTTTAAGAGGTCTAAGGTATCACATCCAGAAGAACTCATTTGGATAAATTTGGTTTTTATTTATTCACTTTGTTGTATGTCTGTGCATCTATCTGAACACACCCCCCCCAATCATAAATTAACTAAGGGACAGAAGAAGAAATTTTAAAAAGCGACAGTCCTTGGTATAAAAAACTAAGGCTAACCCTGGCTGGTGTAGCTCAGTGGATTGAGCACGGGCCTGCGAACCAAAGGATCGCAGTTCGATTCCCAGCCTGGGTTGCAAGCCAGTTCCCAGCAGGGGACACATGAGAGGCAACCATACATTGATATTTCTCTCCCTCTCTCCTTCCCTTCCCCTCTAAAGATAAATAAATCAAATCTTTAAAAAAACAATAACTAAGGCTAAACAGAGAATTCTCATGAGAATGCTTAATAAGAAGATAACAGTGATATAAAAGTACAGCCAGGACAGGCCAGTGTGGAACCTCGGCAAGGCCTCCTGCTGTCAGCCAAGGGGGTTTTGCGACACGCCGCCTGGCCAGTGGTGGGGAGAGCGACAGCGAAGCAGCGTGATGCGCTCACGGCCCTCGGCTCCCTAGCTTGCCCCAGGACCGCAGCCCAGGCCGCCGTCTGGGGACGCGCGGCCTCCGTGAGTGCTGCCCGCAGCCGTGGTGCGGGCGGGGCCGACCAGGAGCAGTGATTTGAGGCAGAACTAGGGGCGAAAACAGTGACCAAGGCGAAGAGGAGTGATTGATACTGATGAAATCACGGTTGATGGAGATGATCTAATGACTACATTTCAGTACCCAAGGCAACGCTGCACCAACATACACAAAGCAAAAGTCCGTCAGAAATAAAAAGTGAATTTAACAATGACATAACTGCACAGAGGCCTTCAGCACGTCTCTTCCAGAATTTGTGTGTGTGTACAAAATATGCACACATGCAGACACATGGGTATATTTGTGCATATATGACTATAGTATTTGAATAACAAAATCAGCAAGCTTGGTATTACATAAAAGAAAGTGTCATTCTTTTCTGATACCCACAGAATGCTTACAAACTTGACTATATGCTAGACTATAGAGAAAAGTTTAGCAAGTTTCAAAAAGTAAATTAGCCACATTCTTTGGCCTTATCGTACATGCAGGATTTAACGATAAATATTTTAAAAGTCTAACCATTTGAAAAACACACATGCACACATAAATATGCTCACAAGAAACTCTTAGATCAAATAAAAACAAAAAATCTAAAATAAAAATCTACTTAAAGACAATGACAGTAAGAACACTACAAGTTAACAATTTATGGCATCAGACTAAAGCAGTAATCAGAGGAAAACCTGTAGCCTTAAAAGTTTACTGTTAAACTACTCATCGCTATTACAATGTAATAAGCAGGTAGTTAGACGCTGGGGTGTTTTGCATGGACGGACGAGCACTGCGCTGACTTACACATCCTCTGAGTCATTGACCCTCACAACACCCCACTTTATGGAGGAAGAAGAGGAAGTGCAGTGGGATGTGCAAGTGGCTCTGGGTCACACAGCCGGTCACCGTGACGGAGGCGGCAGATGCCCCGGAGGACACAGCCGCCATCACGGTCGGCGGCAGCTGCTGCTGGATGAGTCAGTCCTCTGCTTTTAAAATAGCTGCACACTGATACGGGAAACCGTTCAATCACGGAAATACACACTGATACTTCTCACAGGAGCCATCTTGACCTCCACTCTTTCAGTGGCATCACATGTCCGAAATTTCAATAATTAGAAATAATTTCCCCGGCACAGAAGCTTCAAGTTGGGTAGACTCAGGTCCACAGATTTATTCTTTCTCTTGACCTTGTTTTTCCTCTCTTCTCTTAAAACTGTAACTCAGTCACTCCCCCAGGGATTCAGCAGTGGCGATCCTGAAAATCCCCTCCCTGCTTCAACCACAACAGAAAGCACCCTCTGTGCTGAGCCAGAGGTGCAGGGATGAGGGACAGGGGCAGCTTTGCTCCAGATGAGAACCCAGTGCAAACTCGAACCCAGCTGCCTCTGAGTGGCTGAGGGCTGCTTGGCCCAGGAGCAGACACGCTGCGGAGCAGGATGAGGGAGAGAGACGGATGCTTCCCAGGGACTTACCACCAGCTGGAAACTCGCCTGCCTCAGTCACCCCCCCCCTCCCCGTGATCCTCCCACAAACCCCACGAGGACTAAACAGAACACTGGAGCTCAGAGGAAGGAAGAAACCCTCCGGAGGCCTCACAGTGGGTGTGCGGGCTGTGGACCCAGGTCTGTTTGGCTCCAGCGCCTACGCTCCCACCCTCTCACTGGCCATCAGAATACACTGGGAATCGCCTCTTCCCAGGTAACACACCCAGCATGGAAGCTGTACCCTGTCCCACCCTGTGAGGACGGTGCTGGCCCCTCCACTTCCTCTCAGGTCCCTGGCTCTGCAAACAGAGGCCAGGAAGAGCTCGCCTTTGGAGGGGCCAGCACACCATCTCCACTGCCCTGCCCCCGCCTGCACCCTGGGAGCACGGGGAGCTCACTACTTCAAAGAGCAAATGCCATTGTTGGAGCATTCATCACCCGCCTCCATGAAATGCGCAGACCCCGACACCTGTCTACTCCCCAGAACCACAGAGTGCAGGCCAAGGACACAACACACTGAGGACTGAGGGGACTTTGCAAAGGAGGACTGCTGGCCCGTGACCTGTACAGAACTTGATCCACAGAAATGCCTGCGCAGAACTGCCAATAACGTCTCTCATTCCCATAATAAAAACTCCCAAAGCAGCAAATCTTCCACAGTTAATACTGCACAAATCCAGGAAGATCTGTTCAGTATTATTAGCCCACAACCGGAAATATTTAAAAGCCTAAACTGTAATGAAGTCATAAAACAGCCACCTCCCACTGGTGCTGTGCCAGTGCGGGGCTAAGCCCTGTGCGTGGTCCGCGCCGACCACACCCGGAATGACATGCTTGCTGGCGTCCCTGTGCCCTCGCTGCCCAGTCCCCCCGGCAGAAGCGAAGGCCCTCCAAGCGGGAAGTGTGTCTTGCTCCATGAGCTCAGTCCTCGGCGGCTGGAACAGAGCACACGGGAGCTGCTTGGTAAACATTAGCTGAAAGAAGAAAAGCATGAACAAAGCCATACTTTATTGAACCCCTACAATAACCCAATGAAGGACATTATTACCCTCATTTTTTGGCTAAGGAAAGAGACACAGAGTCAGGTGGTGATGATAATGAACCTGAGCCTGATCCTAAGCTGGGAGCGTTGCTCAGAATGTTGACTCCTAACAGACCAACGACGTCAGGGAGGTATTCTCTCTCTTTTACAGAGAGGGGCACTGAGGCTGTGAGAGTCACTTTGCTTTTCTGAGGCCACACAGCTGGGATGGGATGGAGGCGGGATTCGAACACAGGTCTGTCCAGGCTGCCATACTGTCTTTCTTTTTTTTTCAACCCCAGCCAGGCCTCTGACGCCTGGCAGCTGTTGAGGCAAGCTGAAGCCAGAGGTCTCCAGGCTGCAGCTCCTCTGCCTGCTTTCTCCTTCGGCATCGACACCCTCCAAGAAGGCTCGTGGCTGCACCGTGGCCACCTCCCCCGCCTACACCTTCCACTTCCTCCCACTGCCTCCCTGGCACCCATCACGGTGGATCCGTCCAGGTCCCACCGTCAGTGCGCCCACCCAGGCCTGGGGGCCTGCCAACTCTGCCACGTGGCAGGCAGCTGCAGTGTGAGTGGGAGAGTGTGGGCTCGGAACCAGGAGGCTCGGAACCCTGGTGCTGCCACGCTGGGTGGCCTCGGGCAAGCCTTTCACCCCCCAGGCCTCAGTTTCCTTGACTGTGATCGGGAGTGATGACGGTGGTCGTGAGGAGTGTGCTGGCCCAGGGCCTGGACCACTGAGATGCCCAAGCAGCTGAGCGAACCTCAAGCCTGGCTCCGTGGCGAGGCCCCACGGGAGGGATGCACTGGCTGGGTTTGCCATAACCATGGGTGGCGCCCAGATGCAGACCATGTGGTGGCCACCCAGCTCAGGCAGGCCAGTGCTGGGAGCTTCTATCCGGGTTGGGACGACACAGCTGGGACGCCTCGGCTCCCTTCCTACTCACACAGTTACTGCAGCCAATGAAACGGTCTAACTGGCTTTGTTAAGATGCAGAGTAACTGGACCAGCCACTGGCCCTGGCTGCCGTGGGACAAGTGACACCAGTCCTGAGTGGTTCCATGGGACTGGGGCTAGACTGGGAGGTACGAACACTTTGGAGGAAACACCATAATAGGAACTGCCACTCTCTGTGACGAGAAAGGCTGGCCTGCCTGTCTCACGGAATTTAGGTGCTCTCATTTTCCCATCCCACAGATTTGTAAATGAGAGCTTAGAGAGATAGGGTGACATCCAAGGTCACACAGCTTGCAAATGGGGCAGTCAGGATTTGAATTCAGGTCTGCCTGACTCCAAAGATTTGGGACAGAGAGCAATGCTGTATGCTAGGGCTGGAAGTCATTGGCTGGCACGGGGACAAGGGTCCCAGCAACAGAGATGGGCGTTTGGGGACCCCTGCTGTGCCCTGCCTTCCCCCAGTGACGCTGCTGGCAGCCCATGGCTTGCCCGCCTGCAGACTGGACCTCCTCTGAGAGGGACAGCTACCTGGACATGCTTGTGCTCTGCTCCCGCCTGCCA